CTGAACAGACAAATATAAAAACAGGCCTCCAGGACATACTTTGTCATCACCAGCATGTCACAATACAGTATGAATGGAGTTCTAAGCAAATGCAAAGGAAACCTCTAGGATATGTTAGCACAAAGCAATGTTGTTAAGATCATAAAAGCAAAAATTCCACGTGTTTGCACTAAGACTTGAAAAGGGCTTCCACTTCATCTATAGAAGGCTAATTGATGCGACAGTTCAAGTGGATTAAAATAACATACTGGATCAAGTCACCCTTTTAAGCTTCGTAACAGAAGTTCCAGTCTGTCCTTCAAATTAATGTAAATTATTTTAACACACCAGATGCAAAAATCCAGAGTGGTACTACAATAGACCCTCCGTGTTCCACGCTCCAGAAGCCTCAGCCAATCACTTTCAAAGAGTGGACTGGAATCTTGAAAAGGGAAAAATAATGGATTTGGGCAGTTTAACTGTCAGCCAACTGACAAAGATGAGGGTATTTAGATTTTGGTGGGAGAAGGATTAGAATATCTGCTGGTTAGGCAAAGTTCATGTGTTTTGAAGATAGGTAGGTTTGAGTGTTGTTGTCAAAAACAGTTAAAAAGGGGAAACATCTGTTCTGTGTGATGAAGGTTTGGGTGCTGCTCCTATCAAAAACTACTAAAAGAATGCAGTCAAACATGCTTTTAGATCCCATTTAGCTGTGAATGCCTGACAGATCTAAAGGGCACTATCAGACGGCAACATCTGGGAAAGGTCCCACAGTCATCAGCACCCTATGCTGCTCTGCCACAGAAGTAGAGTTAAAAGACACCGGGGAAAGTCTGGTTCTAACTGGTACCAACAGGCCATGGATAGACTTTCCACTCTCTGATCGTGCAAGCAGACTCAGGCTGTTGGGATGGGCTGCCCAGTCCATCCCAACGCGGCACCATTCTTTTTGCTTGCGTAGCGGTATACGCATAACCACATAAGTGATCCATCGTCGCTGACCACTGCAGGGATTCAATTCCTCATCTATGCACATGCAGGGAAAACGGCAAAAAGCACTTATTTATCTATTGTTATATATAATTGCTGCTATGTTTTTATTGTTTTATGGATTTTATGTATGGGCTGTAGCCCTCTGTACGCCGCCCTGAGCCCGCTTGCGGGGAGGGCGGGGTAAAAATACTTAAATAAAATAAATAAATAAATAATTTAAAAAAAACCCCACTCCCCTGAACACGCCGTCTGATTAGGCAATGATGGGCTGAGCCTGCAGCACCAAGGGATGTGTGACCACTTGACTCCATTTTCAATTTCCACCAGAGGAAATCTGATCGCTTCCCCGCCACGTCAAATAGCACGTCTGACCACAGCCAAAGTTAAAAGTCTTTTTGTTCCATGTTATAAGCCTGAATCAATCAAACAAAAAGCCTGCTACGTAACTGTTACAGTTTCTCAGGTCCCAGCTCTCCAGTAATGTTACTGTAATAATGAAAGGGCTGGAGAGAAGGAAAACAAACAACCAAGCCACACATACCATAGAAATAAACCTACCTTAGTTGTTTTCATCAAACCTACTGCATGCTTCTTTCAAGCTTATAATCCTTTCACAACAGGCCAAGTGAATGCTGAGTAGCACCCTGAGTCCAGGCATTGCCCTCACTGAGGACTAGAAGACTAAGTGGTTCCAAAAACCTCAATTATAAAAATGCAAGCATTTTTTTCAAGAAGTTTGTGGGGTGTGAAATTTAAGTCCCTACTTTCGAAATCTGGAGCTGGGGTGTCATCACACATTATTAATAATTTTAACATAGGGTATCTCCACTTCTCAACTACTACTACTCCAAATCTGTAAAGATCAATCGATCACTGTCAAGTAAGCCATATGGGGATGCCTTTGAAAATGGTTCAGAAACTTCAGCTGGTTACAGCAACTGCATCATTCCTGGGCTGAAAGATCTGCACTGGTTATGAATCTATTTCTGGACACAATTCAAAGTGCTGGTTCTTACTTTTAAGGCCCAAAGTAGCTTGGGGTGGGGTACCTTTTATTTTTTATTTTATTTATTATTACATTTCTATCCCGCTCTCCCCGCGGACGGGCTCAGGGCAGCTCACAATCAAGGGCACCATGTGCCAAATATAAAACATTAAGAACAGAATAAAAGCAACCATATTTAACAAAATAAAGTACTCAGTGATGTGGATCATTTGATCAAATCAAGATGGTGACCTGTAGGTGTTACCCACAAACCCAATTCAGCGGTACCGATTCATCATGATACTGTGGCTCCATCTTTATAATGGGCCATCCCATTACCCCGTTGTTACCATGAAATAGTTGTTGGTGGTGGTAGTGGCGGCTCCTAATTGAAAGCCTGGCGGAAGAGCTCCATCTTGCAGGCCCTGTGGAACTCTGAGAGATACCTGAAGACTATCCCCTCCCATACCCATATTGTCCAGCCTGCCACTTCAGATCTGCCTGTCAAGCCTTGCTCTCTGTGCCCCCATCATCAGAGGTTAAGGCAGCTGGTTACTAGAGACAGCCGCATTTTCTGTGGTAGCACATCACCTTCGCCATGAGGCCTGCCTGGCACCTACTTTACTTTCTTTCAGGCAACAGGTTAAATAACATCTTTCAGGCAACAGGCTAAATCACATCTGGGGTTTTATCTTACCAGCTCTTTAATGGTCTGCTTTTAATTTTATGGACAGTTTATATTCTGCTTACGTTCAATGGTTTGTTTTTTAATGGCTTTTAAATATTGTGATTTTTAATTGTAAGTCACCTCAAGCAGGACTCTGAAGATGCAACACAGAAATATTCTAAATAAATAAATAAATCAGTTTCCACATTCATTTATACTAAGTAAATGTAGAATAAGATTTTCAAAAATGTACTGATTGTAAACATCTGACTGACAGGATGGAATAACAGAAAATATATAAAAATATATAACTACTTGAAATTTTTATGCTTGACAAATTGATGTTTATAATTTTGAATCCCTCAGATTCCATGTGGACAATTTCTTTTTTTTTAATTATATTTTTATTCTTTTACTTAAAAGTACATTCAAGTACAGAGAAAGAAACAACACCAACTCAAAAGCATCCAAGGGGCATACAGTAAATGAATGTATATTGGTTAAACTATGAACTTTAAGGAACCTGGTTAAAATCTAGATGATCTTTTTTACTATACTTTATGTGGACAATTTCTTAATGTTACCTGAGCCCCATGGTCCACATCCTAGTATCTTATACTGCTGATTAGTCCTGTGACATCTAAAATGTAAAGACCACATAGGAGGGCTATATGATGCATGACACTGCCCCTCCCCAGAGCTGAGAGCACTGGAACTAAACACATCATAGCTTCCCTACTGTGTAGCTGCCACATTTCAGACATTATCAGATTATGGTGGAATGTGACCACACTGAACTGAAACTGGAAATGAAATTCTGGGGGGGAAAGTTATACCCTTCCAAGTCCAGCAAAGTCAATGGGCATAGAACAGTGTAACTCTGCTTAAGATTGCACTATAGGACACTCTGAAAATATAAGAATTAATGAACCTATTTTCTCCCTATAAGAAGCTGCTGCTTACATACCCAGCATACTAGGAATTTTGTTTCACCGGTAGAGTGCTACCTTAACTTGGAAACTCAATCCAACAAATTAGTGTATCTGAAAATATGGCAACAGTTGCTGTGGTTCATATCTCTTACCCTTCATTCACAAAGGCAAGGAGCAGATAACAAAACCAACACATAAAAGCTGACAGAAATAAATATTACAGTTATATGAAGTCCCTCCATTCAGCATGATTTTCTCCACTTTCCTTCAGAAGATAACCAAAAGAATTAGATTAATGAACCTTCAAAGGGAACAGATTCTATATGTGTGGCAAGATGACAGCAAATGTGTTGCACCTTTGTAACCAATTTCTGCCTTTTATGGTTTTTTATTCTGGATGTGGACTGAGGAAGCCATCCTGGTCCAGGTAGCAAATTAAACACAGGAAGCAACGGTACAAAGCATACCTTGAGAATCTTTTCTTCCAGACAGACAAGAGAGCTGTTGTAATGTCTAGGAATACCCTAAATGTTTAACAGTCTTCTGCTAATCAGAAAGAAACAGAAACAGGCCAAAATATTAAGGAACCTCATTGGGAATTGAGTATGAAAAGCTTAATCAAAGACCCCTAACTAGGGGTTTTCCGAACACAGCCCCAAGATGTTTCACGTTATATAATAACTTAAAGCCTCTGTGCCAAGGTGGCCTAGAAATAAAAAAGTTAAAATTCTTATTACTGGCTTATAAAAACAGGAATGCAAGTGATTTTCATGCAGCACATATATCCTCTGCAGTTATCAAATTCAGCAAGCATGCACTTTAAATTACCAAAGAGAGGTGAATGTTTCAACTGGTAAAGTAGCAATTCAAGCAACCATGCAAATAAGGTACAAAATGGAACATGTTCTATAAATGCAGGAAATTCTATAGTTTAGTGCACTGGAGGTTTCAAGAGGAAAACAATGAACTTATACATAAAGCTACATTTATAACCTCTGTGAACCTCTCTCAGATCTATTAGCTGAGCATGACTACACTCGTCCTACTCCTGCATTTTAAAAAGGTCACTTTTCCATAGAGCAACCAAGTTACAATGCAGCAGACCTCCTTAAATGCTGCTTTCCCTGGACTTTTAATGGGTTTGATATTAAGGGGGGAAATGTGGAAAGAACACCTAACCCAGCTGGCTTAACAACCTGAAAGACTTTTATATCATACTTTTCTTGCCGACTCCTAACCCACCTTAAGACAATCAATGGATTAAATACTTGCTTGGTTCAGTGGGCTATAATGACAATGGAGAAGAAGAATGATTAGGCTGCTTCCCATCCTTCCTGCCTCTGTCTGTCAAACTCTGATAAAACCAAGCTTGCTGCCAAGTTCTAGTTCATACTTTAAAAATGTACAGCTGGTTCTACAGAACCAATGAGATTCAAGTCATTCCTCAAGCCCTGAAATCGTTCACCACCGCCATGTGCTGAAGCTGATTATAAGTGAATGCTAGAAAAAAGACATGAACCCTATTACTGACAACTGCAGGCCTCTGAAGAGGTGACATATACATTTTCTAAATAAATAAACTGTTTAAAAAAGGAAATTATTCTCCATCATCAGCCTGCAACTGAGGGGAAACAAGCATGATAATATTTCATGGGATCAGATTCTCCTTGAAGAAAAGCTTCAGACCACATATTATACACTTACTGGCTAAGAAACCATGATCTTCAACATGGCCTTCCCATTCATTTTTTACCACCCTTGACTTTGGTGCTTGATGCTTGAGTAAATCTATCTGTATTTTCTAAAAAAAAATAAACGATGTCCTTTGATGATAATGCAAGTTTTCTGCCATTAAGTTATTTGAACTTTAAAGCAATTCTCTTTCCTTTATTGTCACTGGTGTAACACTACTTCCTTCACTTGCAGTCATAGCTTTACCTTTTAAAATCCAAGCCTGGCACCAAATAAATTTTGCAGGGGAAATATAGGTTTGAGGATAAGCTATATGCAAAATACTTTGTCGTTGGAATAAAAGCAAAACACTTCATTTGTGATGTCAAACTAGAAACCCTCCTCTATCTTTCACATGCACCATCACCTAATAACAGAAGCTAATTTTTCATACATAGCATATTGTATGTTATAATGGAAGAAAATGGGGAGTTACATTTGAAGTTTTAGTCTAGTTGATGCACATGTCTTTTATATACACCTCTAAAACCTCCGCTTAATAAGAGACCATTACAAGAAGCATACTCTTGCAAACTTTATGACTAAACTTACATCTCTCATGAGGATAGGCCAAAGGAAGTTTGGAATATCTCTCAGAGTATCACATATATAAATGGAATCCTTATACACTTGTCAAAAGGTATATTTAGCCCTAAAGATAGTAAGTGGCTTGCCTGACACCTCACTGAACTAGTAATAGAACCCAGGAATCCTGATTCATAATCCACTTTCCTAAACATAGATCAGTCACATTTAGAAACTCTCACAGTGTCACAAATACTGGATATATCCATCACAGGCAGAAACCAGACACTGGTTTTTAATAAATTAATAAATGATCCCTAACAGTCAGAACCCTTTAAAAACTAATGGGGATGGCTTTGGTATTTCTGTTTGTGATATTAAGATTTACAAATCCAGATCAGTTCATTTATCAATTGTGTTCAAGCATGCCTTTACACTTGTGATTATGGTACACTTTATGACAAGTAATTTCTTGCGTGAATTAATCCTGCTGAAAAGTACTGGAAGAGTCTGGATGATACTTGGCCCTATGCTTGGTGAGGGAAAGATAGAAACAGACAGCATCCTTTACATCCCATCCTTTGACATGCCTATCCAAACCTCTGACACTGGTGCATGGCCACACAAGCGCATAACATTTCAAGTAACTCACCATATGTTCATTTGGTACATACAGATCATGTCCTGAATTAAATATGGGAGGGATTTATTTAACATATTTTAGCCTTCTTTTCACCTCCAAACAGGACCCAAGGTCAACCTCTGAGTATTCATGGCTTTCAAAGTCACCAAGCAAGATTCAGAATCGTGATCCTACTCGAATCCTCTAGCTATTGCACATGCTTTTAAACTATTCAGCCTTACAACGTTTTCTAAAAATTAAAATATTTCAGCACGGCCATTTCATAAAGGGGGAGCCAATACAGTGACAACATGAGACAAGGTAGCAGAGTTACATGCCTACAAGAAGTGGCACTGATAGATTATCAGAGTTGCTACAGATTCATACAGGGAGATATGGTTGTTCAGGTACATGGCTCCCATGTAGACTTGCCAAATTCATCACTGGAAGGCTTGGGGAAACCTTTGGGGGTAGGGGCATGGGAGAAAGGATTTTCTAACACTCTAGAATTTCACCTGAAATCTATGGTAAGCATCAGCAGTAGTTTACCCAACAAAAGCAGTCAAATGACAGCCCTAGTCCCAGGACTGCTGAGAGCTACCAGGGCCCCCTGGACAAAGATTCCATCTGCACCTCCATGACCTAGATCCAAACCAAATATCATAACAAAACAAATCACCTGGCTGGCTAATCACTACATATATAATAATAATAAAATGATTCACATGTCCACCTGTCTGTCAATTAGTGGCAGGCATAACTCATCAGAAAATAAAACTAGGAATCTCAAAATTAGCCACCAGATTCAGGATGATCATGGGAGATCCACAGCCAACAATTAAAGGAATTTGAGTATTTTATCACCAGACCCAACCCCTGCTGTTTTCAGTGGAAGCTAAACTTGTGTTGTGGTTAAAGTGTCAGACTGGGATCTGAGAAACCCAGGTTCAAATCACCACTCTGCCATGGAAACATGATGGGAGGCATTGGGCCCATCACATACTTTCAGCCTAACCTACCACACAGGGTTGCTGTGAGGATAAAATGAAGGAGCTGAGAATGGTGTAAGCTGCTTTGTGGGGAGGGAGAGAAATTAGAAATGGAAATAAACAAATGGCAGATCATCACAGGAAGGGAGCAAAAAAAAGAGGAGAAAAGTGAGGGAAAGAGAGAAATGAAGGAAAAGACAATGAAAGCCACATACACACCCCAATGCTACCATTCTCTAACAGGGTTGCCCCTTTGCGAGATCTGGCTGTGCACAAGCTGGGAGAAGACTGCATCCAGGCAAGAACTGTCCTGGCTGGCTTTGCCTTGACCCAATGCTGGCTTGGCTGATGGGTTTAGAAGGATCTGATCAGCAAATAGTTCCCTCAGCCTCGTACTAAACTTTGCAGAAAGGCTGAGACAGCAGACTCTGGAGCGCTTTTACTGTGTCCTGCCTTCCTTGCACCCAGCCCTGTAGCCAGAAAAATTTTGGTGGGGGGGGCAGATCACTCGGGGGACTTCCCTTCTACCGCCACCCTGCCCCCTTCTGGTCAGTTTTACTCCCCACCGATCAGCTGTTAAACCTAACAGCTGATCAGACAGAGTGATTTAGCTGAGGGTACTGTGTGGGAGGATAGTGTTTGGGAGTGTGTGAGTGAGTTTTAAGTTGTTGCAGAAACCTAGCTTTTTGTGAAAGGTTGAGAAAGGGTGATTTGTTTGACTGGATTGCCTGGGTGTGATTTGAAAAGCTGCTGGCCCTGCCCTCTGCTGAGTGAGGCTTCTATAAGGCTGTACCTCGTTAGAGGTGTGAGCTGAAGGACTCTTGGCTTGTGGCTCTTAGTTTAGGGGTTCTGTAAGAAGCCCAGGAAGGACCAGGAAGTTAGGGCCCTAGTCCCCTTGTGTTCCCGGTAAGGCAAGTAGAGCCACATAAATGTGAAGGGTTTTAAAAGGGGGATTCTATATAATTATTTTAAAAAATTAAAAAACAATTCTGAAGGCAGAATTCCAGCAGGGAGTTGGGGACTATCCAGTGTTTTGCAAGGAGTGTCACATTTATGACTATCTGCCCACTGGACAGAAGTCTTGGGTGTGTGCCCGGTGCAAGGAATGAGTTTGCACCCTTGAGGCCAATGTGGCTGACCTGGAGAAGCAGAGACAGTCAGTTACGTGCATGGAGAAGACTCTTGGGGACTTGTTAAATATGTCCCACTCTGAAAATGGCAGCCCCGCCACTGTCAGGGAGCATGAGGGCCGAGAGGAAACAGGGCACCATGCTGAGGATAAGGGGAATGTGCCCTCAGAAGGGACCTCTTCTTCAGTTGGTGAATGGGTATCCCTTCACACCAAGGAACCATCCCTGGGCAGGGAGGGAAGAGGGCTCGTTTTTTTTATTCACAAGCAGGTAGACAGCTGGGTGGCAAACCCACATACTGACAATATGGTGACTTGCCTGCCTGGTGTGAAGGTAGCAAACATTATGCATGTTATAGATAGGCTGGTTGACAGTGCTGGGGAGGAGCCAGTGGTCGTGGTACATGTTGTCACCAACAATGTGGGGAAATGCAGTCATAAGGTCCTGGAGGAAAAATTTAGACTGCTAGATTTCAGGAGGGGTGATGAAAGACCTGAGTCAGATTGAGGTGACGAGAGAGGATGTCCTATGACAGATAAACTTAAAAACTGATAAATCACCAGGCCCAGATGGCATACATCCAAGAGTTCTGAAAGAACTTAAATGTGAACTTGTAGATCTCCTGACAAAAATATGTAATCTTTCATTAGAATCTGCCTCCATTCCTGAGCGGAAACAACAAAGTTGGGGTACACAGAGCCATGCTAGCCTCTAGGAAAGGATCCACTAATAGAGGTATAATGCTACCTGGCAGGTTTTCATGCTTGGAGCCCTTGAAGGTACCAGTCAAGGGGGCCCTATCCCTTCTCCAAGATGGGCTAGACAAAGGGTTTAGCACCAGCCTCCAGGCTGTGAGGTTCAAAGGGCCGGCTGAGTGTGTCACTTCAATCTCTGCGTCAACAAGTCCACCCTTCGGGGTAGCCACCAGAGCTCTGCTATGTCCAGCCTGTTTTGGTCCTGAAAAACTGGGCCTTCTTGTGATTGGAACTACCTCTGCCCTTCGTTTTGGCAGTGTCTGGGTCACCCTGTGTGTCAACAGTGTTAGAGGGAAGGCATAGGGTAGGCCTTGGGGCCATATGCCACTTATTGCATCGATTTTTGCCGCCTGAGGACATCTTGTCCATTACATGAATCTTTGTACTTGGAGAGTCTGGTCTGTGGTCAACAGATCTATCTCCATCCTCCCAAACCTGTTGCAGACTTGATGGAAACTGCCTTGCACCGCACCCATACCAAATGGCTTAGTATTTGTATGCTCGGTCCATCTGCCAGAATGCTGTCCTGTCCCACAGCATGTCCTGCCTTCATGGGCTGTACGTGGACCTCTGCCCTCTCAGTCTCTTTGGTTCGTTGTGCAGTGCTGTGAACCTGGTTCCTCCCCTTTATGTATTAATTTGGTTGTCATAATGTCCATCTGCATCAGGATGTGGTGACCTGATAGGAGCTCACTGACCCCCATCAGGCCCAGCCTGGAAGCCCTGAGCTCCAGAACATTCCTTGGTCAGTTTCCTTGCACAAGGAAGCCTCTGTCCCTTATTGTATCTATCTTGGTGGAGATTGCTCTTTTCCAGGTTGGCCACAAAGCCATACTCCCTGAGGGTGTTCACCATCCGAGCTAAGGCCTCCACACTCTGTTGGAAGGATGATGATTTGACCAGAATATTGTCTAATATGGGAGCAGCCTCAGGTGCACCATGACGACCACCAATATCTTGGTGAACACTGTGGGAGTGGACCTCAGGCCAAATGGAAGAGCCCTTTATTGGAAGCAGTTTCCGTCATAGTCGATGCCCGGAAACCTGCG